CCACAATGCAAACACAACAAACACTTGATGCGGCACTGAAATAGGCCGATTCCCACTTTTAATTAGGATCCAAAGAAGACCAATAAAGTTCTATAAACACCTTAAAGCCAATGAGCCCAACTCCAACCATTACACAGCTACAATGAGGAATAGATGGAAAGAAGTCCTCTCTGCTATAGGGGCCATAAAGCTCAGCAAAACAATGAATTGCTCCAACACAGACCCCACACGAACCAGACTGAGCAAATTTAAGGCAAAGAAAAATGAAAGCATCAACCACTGGACAGAATGACAAAAAACTAAAAAATGAATGCTATTCAGGCCCGGACAGACAAATCTGAGTTGATTATTTTGGTTCAATGAACAACCAGAAACTGAAAAAAACAACATGGGTGATGACAAGAACCTGGAAACTGCAACTGGTAAACACCTGCAGAGTCATTTCTCCCAAAACAAGAGGTGCATACAGACAATCTGAGACACAAAAAAAGAGAGGAGGGCGTATTGGTTTCCTGTGTAAAGGGAAGAAACTGGACAGGAGAGAGAGCTTGTTCTGTTCCCTACCTTGTGTTGCTCTGTTGGTGTGTCACACTATCTTTCACAGTTCAGGTTATATTGGAGTCCCCTTCATTTCCATTCTTCTCATGAATCTGTAAAGAAAGATCAGCTCTCATAAAGTGTGTCATGTCTTCACAAAATCATTTAATTAGGAATCTGCCATTTACTGATTCAATGCTGCATCATTTAGCTGGAGGGAGAACTGTCGACTGTAGGCAGCAGGCAAAAAGAAGCAAAGAACAATACCAGCAAGACTAAAGTCAAACAGTATGTCCACTAGTTTCTATGTATATATGCATTGGTAATATGTGTACGGCACATTTGCTGTGTGACAATGGATGACATGCATTGTAGAAGGATTGGACAATTTTTTTTTAGAAGGCAGGATGTCAAAATGTTCAAAGTAGCCAAAGAGCAAATAAAATTATAGGGTTTTCTTGTTCATCTCACTGATAATAAGCATAGGTCAGCAGTGGTGTTGTACAGCTCAGCTACACAGAGCATGTAGAAATTCAGCTATTATCAGAAAAAAGAAAAAAAAACGTGTTAACAATAGTCGTTAATAAAATCCTGCAGAGGCTTCAATCACATTTCTGTATAGTCTGCAAAGTATGATTCTGACCTGCATGAGTGTGTCAACTAATGCTCTGACGAAAATACCACTTCAAAAGAGGACATAATTACCCAGGCTTCATCAACTCAGACACATCGTGACATTTCGTTGCTGCTTTCCACCCAAGACAGCGTTTGCGGGATTCTCAGAAAAAGAATTTGCAAATGACCCTCAGGTTTAAATGTAGCAGTGAAGATACAAAGCCAGCATAGTGTGAAATGTTCCATTTATTTGTTTGGAAACACATTTGTAAAGATGTTTGACTGAATTCTTCCCACCATATCTTAATTGGAAAGCAGCGTGTGCAATACAGCCCTGCTCAGATGGTGTCTGCAGCTTTGCCTGGTTTGAACAGATGCTCAGGATCTGACAGGTTTGATTATAATTCACTTCTGCCGTGAAATTAGGGGGCAATTAAAGCCAACTGTTCTCCTCCCAATAAAAATGTTGGAATTATGAAAAAGAATTGGTACAAATAATAACTGTAATTTCAAGGTGCAAAAAAAAAATCAATAAAACGTGCTTTTAAAAAACACAACAAATAAAAATAATACATCATTATCTGCATTTGTTAAACACTAATTCCTTTTGGTTTAATGATTATAACCTGGAAAATTTGTTTTTATTATACACATGATATAAATGAAAATAAAGTGGTTTTAATCTGCTATGCTTCTTTTAAATTCATCTGAGATAAATCCCCTCATTGCCTACATATACAGATAGGTAACAAATAAAGAGGAAAATCCAACCAGTGAGGGGATCTGGTGGTGGGGGGCATTTTGCTTGCATAGTTTGGTTCCACTTGTCCATTGAGAGGTCACAAACAAATCAACACAAAGTTGCTGTATATGTGTACCTTTAGTAGCATTTCTATCCTGATTATGAATGATGATGGCGTTCCATCCAAGCGGCAACTTCTTAGGCTGAAAAATAAAGCAGCACCACAAATGGTCACTAGAGGCTGGCTCCGAAGCACATCAAGCCCTATAGACCCCCTATACTAAAACTATTCTGCAGAAAAAAACCCTGTTCATAACCTGAAACAGTTCTGATCTCTATAACTAATTTCTCCATTTGTGTCAACTGTATGAGAAGTGAACTTTTAAACAACTTGCTTGTTTAAATTGCATTAAGGCTTAAAGCTACTGAGGCTTAAAGCTACTGATTATTAAGGGTATAGCCACTTTGAATGATAAGTCGGGCGCGTCGCAGGACAGTCCATGGTCTAGAAACGTGTGCATGGCCCACTTCAGCTCCACTCAGGCTACAAGTATTTGCAGGTACACTGAAGCTTATTTTGGCAGGACATGGTGGCAAAACACCTTACTAAGACACTTTGTTAGTTTTTCATTTAATTTGTCACCCATCTGTACTTCTCTCTAAGAGAACTGACAATACTGCTCTAATTAAAAAAAACAAAACTGTCCACTCAATAATCACAATAAGCCTTTTAAAGATGGAATCTGCATGTCACAGAAAGGTCAGCTGCCTGAAAAGCTAGCTGTTTTTAGACACTGTCATTGACACTGGTTGTCACTCACACAGGCATTCATCTAGTGCTCCGTACTAAACAAAGAAAAGAAATTAATTCTATTTCAGTTCACGTTTTATTTATTGGAATGTACATTTCAGATTCCCTGCATGCTACAGTGGCTGCATTTGGAGACGAAACTAAAAAGCAATTCCAACTACAAATAGGAAGCACAATGTTTGATGCTTCTAAAAATTGCAGACATGAAGAAGAACTTTCTTTACCAACTTACAATTGACGAATATTTTATTTTCCTTGCCATCTGTAGCATTTTATGACAATGGCCACAATCAAGTACAAAACATGTAGTTCTACTCACGCCTACCTTTTAACAGTCAACAATAGCAACATGAAAGAGAGTCTGAATGTGTCCCGCTTTTGAGAGACTAACAGCTTCAAATGACACTGTGATAAGTACAATTTTTACTTTATTTGTCATTAATCTTGCTGATCAAAGGGCAGTGGGATTTTAAAACCGTTTACTTGCTTCAGTTCTATTCAGCATCAAAACCCATTCTGCTGAAGACTGTGAAATCACTCTAAACTTAATTATTACCAATGTAGGTGTTAAAATCTCTTTTTCCTTGTGCACCCCTTTTTTACCATATAAGCTACAGCTAGATTTCCTGGTGAAAACAAGAGAATGAGGTAAGTTGCTGCAGTCTAGAGAACTTGGTAGGGAATTTATTGTCCGGTGAAACAACAAAGCCATAAAGATACACGGGAAAGGTTTCAAAATATCCTGTAGTGCCCGAGCCAAGAGCCCAGATCTCAGTCCAATTGAGAATTTGTGGCAGGACTTGAAAATTGCCTTTTACTCACCATCCCTTACCCATCTTGACAAAGCGTGGACAGATTTACAAGGAGGAACTGGAGGAAATGTTAGGCCCTGATAGAGCCATCTAAAGTCCAGGCATGATTTGAAAGGGTTGAATTTTTCTGCTTGTTTTAAATGTATGAGTAATTATATTCACAAAGGGATTTGTTTGTAATGTTACTGTCTTCTGTGGGTCTGTGACAAAATAAAACCTCAATCACGTGGTAGAAATAAAACCTACCTGTCAGACTGATGGTCTCTGGACTGTGTTTATCCATCCAACGTCTCACATGCCTTTCTAAATTCACAAACAAATATGCTGTTTTCTATCTGTACTCAGCTGTGTTGGTATTTCGCATAAACTGTATAAAGGATGGACGTAGCTACCGTGACGTCACTTGTTGGTTTCTGCACTGAGAAAATGAAGCCAGGGTTTTGCTACTTCCTGGTTGACATCTTGGATTTTTGGAGCCAGTGACGCAAAAATAGGGGGGCGGAGCCATAGGAGCAGCGATTGGTCAGACGGATTGAGAGGCAGGCCCTCTCCCCACATTTATGGCCTTCTGCTCACTTCATCTGTATGGTCACTGCCGACTGTCAATCAAGCCAGCCACACCCCTTGCCCCCACAAAATGTTGATGATTTTTTAAAAATTCAGCATTGATTTATTTTCAGATTGGCCAACTGATCTCTGGACTTGACCATGAAAACAAATTTTTTTAAAAATCCTGAGCTGAAGGAATGCAGTATTGCATGAACTGTGATCACTTCTTTTCCAATTCAAGTCTATGGGAGCCAGGGCTTTTTGGAGCCAGGACTAGCGGACGTAGTGATATTGCAGGTTTTTGACACTTCCGGGTTGGCTTCATTTTTCGGGGGCGGTTGCTACGTCCATCTTTTATACAGTCTATGGTATTTCGTCACCATCTATGAGGCTGGCCCTCCTCCAGGACCCTCAGGTGAACAGGTGTCAGGTGAAGTTGCCTGATCATTCCTGGCTCAGAACATGTATTTGAATTATTTGATGTAACCAGAAAGTCATGTCAGCCGACCGTTTTGAAAAATAATAAAATCATTTTAGATTTAGTTTTAAGTGTAGGAAAGTTACCCTGCATGCTCTCAGACTTAACTTGTGATTTTTATTTATTAAGTCTGCATTTTTTCCCTCATCAGGCAGCCTTTAGACTGATAGTACAGTTTTCTATATGGAGTCACCATCGCAGCCGCTGTTGCAGGTAAGATTAGGTTGAATTACAGCGGGAAACGTTTTACAGTAGGAAATGTGTTATTTTGAAGAAAAATAAATAAACACAAACAAGCATCTTCGCTGCATGTTGAGTTTTATTTTGAAATTCACCGCCAGAGCTGCAGCGTTTTATTTCTGTAACTTGACAATATGGTTCAATCGAGGAGCGCAGCAAGAAGCCGACAGACGCTCAGCCGCTACCTGTCACTATAAGATGGCACAGACAAAGACGCGTCTCTCCTTTATTTTGTAGTTCTCTATCTGATTCTTGTTTCATGTTCCTAAGCAGGACTTAATTCACAATTTTTATTATTTTTTATTTTTCCTTTTACAACTACATCCTAGGATGGAGAACCTGCAATTTACAGGGAAGGATCCAGCTGGAGAGCCTTTACGCATCGCACACCTTGGAACGTCGTTGTAGATTTCAGTATAGACAAAGAAAAAAAACAATCATGGAGTATTAGTGTAGCTGCACTCTGCGTGTGGACTGTATCATGAAGTACGGACCGGTGGTTCTAACTGCTGGGCTCACAGGGTTGCTCAGTTTTGGTCTCCTCGCTGTGGCAATTGGGACTGATTACTGGTACATAATTGATGTGAATAAACCCAACTATACAGGTCCAGATGACCTGAGTTCACACTCTGGACTGTGGACAATTAATGAAGGTAAGTCAGCTTAACTTCAGTCTGCATATTATGGGATGTAGTTATGAGCTCTTATTCAGCAGGTGTGACTCTTTACACTCAGTTATTAACTGCGTAATAACCTTTGTTCTGGCACAGGCAATTCTGAGAAACCCTAAAGTTCCTTATTTTTCAACTGACTTCTTTCCCATTCAGGCGTGTTCTAAAATGTGAAATATCAGTATTGATCTATTCTGAAATGTGGAGGGAGGGCTGTGAATCGATGGACTGTGTGTGACATGATGTTGCTGAGATCCAACATCGCTCATATTTGTTCATGGATCATGTCTCTCGTGCTGCTCTGCTGCATTACCGTGATAACGAGCAGCACTGTTAGAACTCAGGTGCAAAAGCTGCTTGCGGTGGATTTCACTATGTACCACTGATGCACAGAGGAGATGTCCATGCTTTTAGCCTGTGTGAGTAAATGTTGGCAGTATCCTGAATTAAACTCTCTTACTGGATTCCGACTCAATTAAAAAAAATAAATAAATAAATCACTTTTCATGCAGTGAATATAATAAACATTTTTTCATTATTGTTGGTTAATTTGTAAATGTGGCAACTTTTAGCCTCTGATCAGTATCAGCCCCTGCAGGCAGCAGCAGGCAAACACACAGGAAGCTGTAGAAATGATTTCCAACACAACTGTCATGTAATCTGCATGTAGGCTGCACAGTTTGACAGCCAGATGGGTCCGATTTGATGGTGGTGGTGCCTACAGTTTACACAGTAATGCCACGTAATGAGACAACATGCGGTGCTCACCTGCCACTGCCAAACAAATGTGAAACATCTGCTGTAAAACTAATGACATTTGGGACGTACAAAGGCTCGGTGTCATTGATTTTATTGTTGAATATGTGACGTTTTTCAGCACTCTGATCATATCTTTACTACTGAACGACTCAAATCTGTATTTTTTTTTTGGTATCATGGAGCAATTTTGCAAGTCCCCTGCACTATTGCAGGTCCTGTCGTGTGTAACCTTTTCTTTTGACATTTTCAGGAGCAAGCAGGAGTTCAGTGATCCCCTCTTTCACAGCAAATATGTCCAGCCTGTCAGAGGCAGAGAGGCACATTCTTGGTGAGTGGGTTACTTTATCAGCAGAGAAAGAGCAGGAAGAATACACAGTAGAATATTCTTGGCAGAAGGAAGTCAAATGTCTATTTTTCTGCCTAAAAACATTTTTATTTACCAGCAATGCTTTCAAACAATCATATCCAGAAAACAAACGATAAGCCAAGATAGACGTTTTGAGGTAGTATATATTTGTTGTTGTTAAATCCTAGATTGAAGCAGAGTGTCTTTCAATACTTGTCCCTGTTTGCAACTTTCACAAAGAAATACAGAAGTCAATTGTCTCCTGTGACAGAAACTAGCTCAGCCAAGTCTGTGCAAGGTGATTTTTATACCTTCCTGACAATAAGAATGAAAACCAATGGCTCCCTGGATGGAAGACATCAATCTGAAAATCTCAGCTGCTTTTGCAAATGGACTGCACTCAGCAGTAGTGTATGCACAGAGAGCAGTGTGTATGATTTTATGCGCATATGTGTGTTTGCAGGCTTGCACAAAGTGGTGGTCATCTTGTTGCCCATGAGCCTGGTCCTGCTGGTGCTCGGCTGGATCTTTGGACTTGTCAGTTCTCTGGCCTGCAGTCCCAAGCTGCTGGCTGCATCAGCATGCTACTTCCTCCTCTGCAGTAAGTCCACGCAGATCCTTGATAGTTTTTTTTTTTTTCTGAGCCTGTAGCGGTGATGTGTCCTTGGCATGTGGAATGAGACTGAAGCAAATCCTTTGCCTGATAATGTCAGCCTCTAAGATGTACAGCATGAGAGCAAGTGTGTGGGCGACACAATGCAGACACGTGGCTTTGTGTGAGTGTTAACTACACCTAGGAAGTAAATCCTCTCTGATTCACTTCTAACTAGCGGCACCATTAGTATCTGATTGCAGCCTTTCTAGACATAAACAGTATGTTTATGTATGCTTGAGCAGGCTAATGACCAATGAGATAACAGTGAATATAGTTGTGTAAATATCATATCTTGCAGCTGATTGGAGGAGGCTGTTATGCGTGTAATCTGCAGCTATATATTACATGTCTCCATGTGCCTGTTAAAAATCTCATTCAGCTTAATTGAGTTGAGTTAGGTAATGGTCGTTTTGCTCAAACTGTTACCAGAGAAGGGTGGAGATGTGGATTTTATGGTGAAAATAATTCTTTGAGGGGAAAGTAGAGCCCAAGTGATATATTGGTGGGATTGACTGATGTTCCCACATCACAGGTACATTTATAAATTGTGTCACGACAGAGTTTGTCCACCAGTTTTTCTTTGCACTACTGTCTGCACCACATGTAGTAGAGCGGACATCTCAGCCGAACAGATGGTGGTGCAGAATCAAGAGTGGTTTTCACAGTAACTTTTTTGCTCTTTGTGGTGTTTTTGGACCAATATTGGTGCCAAAATGTGAGGGAAAAAAAATCCAAATCACCATCCATCCATCCATTATCTATACACCGCTCAATCCTCACTAGGGTCACGGGGGGGCTGGAGCCTATCCCAGCCGACTCAGGGCGAAGGCAGGGGACACCCTGGACAGGTCGCCAGTCCACCGCAGGGCCAAAACTAGTTAGAGACAGACAACCAAGCACACTCACATTCACACCTACAGACAATTTAGAATCACCAATTAACCTCAACATGTTTTTGGACTGTGTGGGAGGGAGAACCCGGAGAGAACCCACGCTGCACGGGGAGAACATGCAAACTCCACGCAGAAAGATTCCGGTGCCCCCACCAGGACGCGAACCGGCGACCTTCTTGCTGCGAGGCAACAGTGCTACCAAATGCGCCACCCTGCAGCCCTCCAAATCACCAACTAATTAATAAATACATTGCTGGACAGTTATTTATGAAAACCCAATCACTTCCCCTTTAAGTATCACTTTAGCATATCCAGTTGTGAACAAAAGTTTACATACACTTGAAACACGCGTGTCTTTCCTTCAATAAACAGTCATGCATTTTGGTGCATGCATATTTCTCTTCTGGAAAAATTACGAAATCTTGCGGGTCAAAAATACACAGACAGCAATGCCAATGTTTGATTAAATACCCCTCTGCCATTTTCACCTCACCTAGGTGCTTTTAGTAGCTGTTTACAAGCTTCTGGCAAGCTACTGGTTGTATCTTTGACTCCTCTCACTGAATTGGTGCAGCTAACCTAAATAGTTTTGCTTTCTGATGCAGACTTGTTTCTTTAGCACATTCCACAGATTCTTGATGAAGTCTACGTCAGGACTTTGGGGAGCCAGCCTACAACCATAATTCTAGCCATTTCTTCATCAGTTTTGATTTGTGTTTGGGCTCATTGCCTTGTTGGAACACCCAACTGCATTTAAGACCCAATCCCCAGGCTGATCATTTCAGCATTTCTAAAGAGGTGATCTTTATTCCTCATGATTCCATTTACTTTGTGTAAAGCACCAGTTCCACTGGTACCAAAACAGTCCAGAGAATAATACTGCCACCACCATGCTTGATGGTGGATATGGTGTTTTGGGGGGCTAAAGGCCTCACCATCTCTCCTCCAAGCATATTTCTAGTCATTGTAGCCAAATAGCTCCATTTTTGTTTCATCTGACCACAGAACTCTCCTCCAAAGACATGTGTGTTTTAATGATTCCATCATAGAAAATTAGCAGTTGTAAGAGTCACTGGAAAGTCAAGACTGCCATGATACACATACAACTTCTGCTCACATCTGAATATAAAGACTATTGACTATCAGTATTTTTACTCCCTAAAATCAGTATTGGCCCCAAGAAATCCAGTATCCATCGGCCTCTAGAGCAAAGCATTTTTAAATTCCTATAAATCTTGAAACACTTCTGTCTCTTTATCCAGCCTGTCTGGTTTTGTGTATATCTGACAGATTTTGTCAATATGTATCAACAGCATCATTGATTCAAGCCATTCAGATGCAATTAAAGTAGATGTGGTAATGCAACTCTCACATAAAATCCCACATTCTGAATCACATTTCTGACACCCCCCTTTTCCAAACACTAACCTGTTTTAGAAAGATGTGAATAAAAGTAGTTTGTAGTGGTTAATTTCTGCAGGCATGTTTTTTGTTTTTTGTTTTTTTTCTTTTTTTCCCCCTCTGTGCCTCCCAGTCAGATTTGCATAAAATAAACCATAATTGCAAGCTGGTTCCTGATGAGCACGAACATAGTTTTAGACACCGTACCAACAAACATTCTCAGCATGGATATTGACATAATTAACAGTATTGATCACAGCATGGTGGCTGATTGCAGAAAATTGCAGAATAGCTTGTTGCTGATTGAAACATCCAGTCAGACTTCCCTTTGGAGCCGCCTCATTCTCATGTCATTCTCTGTTGCTATGAAATAATATTTAAATTCTTTGTTGTAGAAAGTGAATGAGATCAAATGGACAAGCCATTTTATAAATTCTATTGCAGAAAGTGTTCAGAGAGAGTCAAATCATAAACAAGCAGCAATGCACTTGAAATAATTCACATTTATCTGTCATTGTCCAGCGATATGACGTGAAGCAGAGGGTCAAATAATGGTTTTGTTTTTTATAAAAAAGCTTTCAGAGCCCCTTTTGATTAGAAGTTGGGTTTGGTAGCTACCAAAAGGAGACTTGATTTGCTGGTTCCACTATAAGGGCATGCTTTCATCAGTAATACTATAACAGAATACATTTTTTCCCTGGGTTCAGCTGTTGAACAGTCACAATAAATACAATATCCATCAAAGAATACATTTGATTAGGTCTGAACTCGAAAGGAATGAGTTCAAATTTGTGTTTGGATAAGATTGAGGGTAAATGCATGATTCTGTCAAAGGAGTAGAAGGTCTTATTATGTACTGCGCCATCTGTGCTGACATGCCCAGCCTCTCATGTCACACAGAAGAGACAGCTAATTTCATGCTTTGCACCAAATGCCCTGTCCGCGTCCCTACATCAAAAGACCTGCGAGAGCTGAGCTCTGCCATTTTCAAAAACACCCTTCTTATAATGTAAAAGAAAAAATGGGGAATGGTTTCTGTGTTTGGTTCTCCTTTTTTCCTTCTTATTAAATCCATTAGAACCTTATTACTCACGCCATATTGTTTTTGTATGAGAAACTATCGTAATTTACGTGTCAGTAGGTCTAGGTAATCCCACCCAACATACTCACATCACATATCACAGTACTGATTACACAGTCTCTGGTTCTTTTAGAAATGTACATTTAGTTTCTTTAATAGCTTTCATTTAGTTTTGCATGAGCTCAAAGGAAAAACTGCTGTGGTGTTGGTGCAGTAACAGCTTCGACCTCACATTAATTCCAGTAGAGCTCTTCTAAGACATACGATATATTGGAAATTTTAAATTTAGCATAAAAAGATTGAGGGCTGCAGGGTGGCGCAGTTGGTAGCACTGTTGTCTCGCAGCAAGAAGGTCGCCGGTTCGCGTCCCGGTGGGGGCACCGGAATCTTTCTGCGTGGCGTTTGCATGTTCTCCCCGTGCAGCGTGGGTTCTCTCCGGGTTCTCCGGCTTCCTCCCACACGTCCAAAAACATGTTGAGGTTAATTGGTGATTCTAAATTGACTGTAGGTGTGAATGTGAGTGTGCTTGGTTGTCTGTCTCTAAGTGTGGCCCTGCGATGGACTGGCAACCTGTCCAGGGTGTCCCCTGCCTTCGCCCTAAGTCGGCTGGGATAGGCTCCAGCCCCCCCGCGACCCTAATGAGGATGAAGCGGTGTATAGATAATGGATGGATGGATAAAAAGATTGAGCTAGATGAAACCCAAAAATGAAATCTTGTCATTCTCAGAACACCAATCATTATGATACTCACTCTAACGTCACATGTTCTCTTTGATGCGCCCACGTGCAAATTAGCCATGCTGCTCGATAGGCATTGAGACAAAAGACCACAGGTGAGGTTTTAAATTATCTGCAATTAACTGAAGTTAATTGCAGGTGCAGGTTTTGGAGTGTGCAGTTCCACCGTGCCACAGGAAAGGTCAATCTGAATTGTTCATTTTATGGTTCAATATTTGAGGACTTTTGAGGCTGACATTTATAATGATGTTATTTTTGCTGGCCCACCTCTGTGGCAATTGTTATGCAAGACATTTCCTCTGTCGTTTTAGGAACATATACAGAAATCAAAAACAAGACCACAGGTTCTGTCTGTAGAGTTACACACTGACAGGTTGAAACCTACATTTTGCAATTCCATCTACAGGGTTATGTGGGGACAATTGTGTCAGAAAAGGTTTATTTGCTAAATGATGTATTATTGTTGTAATTACCCAATTATAAAACCCAGTGAAGTGTACATCATGGTGATTACAGTGCGTGAGTACTCAGCTCAAACTCTGGAGAATTCCCTCCAATTCCAGATGGATCCATGCTGCAGGTACAAACAAGGGAGTGTGTTACAATCTGAAACGTTTGTCTGTTGCATCAACAGGTATTTTCACCCTGTCAGGAGTCAGCATCTACATCAAATACTCAAATCAGGCCATGGAGGAATTCCAGCGGCTCGTGTCCCCGGAGAGTCTCGTCTATGTGGATGTGTCGTTCGGCTGGTCCTTAGCCACCGCCTGGCTCTCCTACAGCCTGGAGGTGGCGACTGGCTTGCTGCTCATGCTGGCTGCCAGAATCACTCAAATGAAGGGGCATTACGACTCTGGTGTAGCCATCGCCATGTTATAGACTGATATATTCATGGTGCCTGGGTAAAACTAAAAGGTCACATTTTGTGGGTTTTTTTTGTTGTTGTTGTTGCAGTTATCACTTATTTATTTATGGTGCTGGGGGAAAAAAAAAAAACAGATGAGAAGAGTTCAAGCTGAACAAGGGCCATGACAACAAAAGGTACTGCAAGCTGGGTTTACAACCACAGATACAGAAAAACTAAATAATTTATGCTGGTGAACATTTATTTCTTTTCACTGCTGCCTTTCATTCTCTCAGTGTCATTTTCTGTCCATTGTCCCATAAATGTTGCCACACAAACAGAAAAACGCTGACTGGGCTTGACTTGATAACCAAACCATGTAGATGCAAATGCCTTGAGATGTGAGACGCTGGTGGATTCCTAGACCTTTGCTGCATGTCATTCCTCTGCTCTTTTCCCCCACATTTCCTGTGCTGCTCCACGCCTATCAAACAAGGGCATTAAATGTTCTTAGTCACAGAGTAATTACTGCTAAGATTAAAAGTAGCTGTTTTGCCTTTGAATGTATCCTGTATGTAATACAGTATGCTTTAGCCTTGATGCCAGAATCCAGCCAATATATACATTTAATTATTGTACTACATTAACTGTTTTGTATTTTTTATTTTTTTTTTAGTGTATCGTGATTTTTTTTTGTGTGTGTGTGTGAACAGTTGTTTCATCTGTGTCTGCCTCGCAAAATAAACGCAGGCAAAATGAGCAGTTACTGTAAGTTGTACAGGTTAATTTCCTTTTTGATGCATGCTCTGTAAGACTTTTTGAATTAAATATACTCCAATATCTCCTGTGCACCCATTTGTTATACTGTATTCAAATACGGTTTGCATCAGTGATATCGAGTATTTCATTCAAGTGAAAATGTTGCTGATTTTGCAGGAGGAACCCACCGAGCAATGAAGCCACCAAGGAGAGTAGACTAGATAGCACACAGTAAGACGTAGTACAGTTTCTATTATATTGTAATAGAACAGCTGCTACTTTGCTGCTCTGTGTGCCAGGAAATTAGCATTTCACTGCTTTTGAAAAGCACTTAGTCTGTGTAGAAGTTGAGAGACTGTTAGCTGCTGAGTATTTGACTTCTAGAGCAACATCTAAAACGCTATCCTGTGCCTCTTGCTTACACATTTCTTTACCCAACCTAACAGTAAATGAGTTAATCATGAAAATAGGGCTGACGTTAAATACACTCATGGGGATGCTGGTATTTGTTTTCAGCAGTACAGAACGGGTGCATGTGTTACTGTCTACTTTATTGTAAAACTCTGTGTTCTGGAAATGTGACTTGTTCTCTGCATGCTGCAAGTAAATGGAGCACTGTGACAATACAACATTTTGCTGTAAGATGTGTTGTGTATTTCTCTTTTTACAAGCATACGAACCTTCCTAGTGTTTTCATACCAGAACAGTTAAACTTTTATTGTCAGCAGTGGCAGAAAATCAGGAAAACCTCAATCCAGCTGTAGAGTAAATGCAAACTTTAAACAGACAACAGAAAAAGAAGACCAAAAATGAAGACTCAGATCATCAAAAGCATTGGGATTATATGCTCACTCATGTACACATTGTACATGTTTTGCATTCTATTTACAATGCAAGTAAAAGGCCACAAGTTCTGAATTCACTAACTGGAAATCTGCCTGCTTCTGAATGTAAAAAGAAAATGTTTTTTAAAAACGTAAAAACAAGCCAGGCGTCGGGCAGAAAATAAATTGTGTCAAGCCGTGCCAGAGGCAGCGTAAGATTGATTCTGAAAGATCTGACCGATTTTTTATGACGCTACTGTTTAATTCATGTGCAAATTGTTAAATCACTGGGCAGTTTTTTGTACCAGGATTCATGATAATTGATGCTTTACTTATGGTGGTATTATGCAGGATAAGGTTGAAATGTGCCAAAGTATTTAATTGGCACCTAATTTCCACCTCATGATAGCAAGGCAAAAATGCATTGGCACATTATATTTTCTAAATAAAAAGGCAAACTATTGAACTGACATACATAATGTACAGAAAATCATTTACAAAGAACAATTCACAGCATACTCAGTAAACTTGCATGAGTACACTTGACACCAAGACTCCACTGGTTACTTTAATAAACTGCCTGCAGCACATAGAAGAGCGGAAAGATTCAAAACAATGTACGAAGGAGCAAAAAAGTGACAGCCAAAACGTGAGAGACAATTTTGGCTAAGTGGAATCAACCCTAAGATGTGGATGTGCACCAAACACACTTTTAAATTACACTTTTTAGCACTGTAATGGGAAACAAAGAGCAAAAGTCTTTGCAAAGGGTGCTCGTGGCAGAGATAGACTCAAAAGCACTAAAATGTGTGTCTAAATGTGATTTGCAACATGATTTAATGTGCATCAGCTCCCTAATCAAAATCCAAACCGTGAAACATTGTGTCCACTCAGCTGTTTGTGTGGCAGCTACTGGACCAGTATTCCTGTCTCAGACGGTATAGAGAGGAGAGAGCTGTAAAAGAAGGACCAAACCACAGTGGCTCAGCCTTGCAGCCCTCTTTTATATATCAGCCGTGCTGAAATCCCATTAAATTTTTATGGAACATAATAATTCAATCTGCTCTGGCAGAAGAACACCAAAGTTGGTGCTAAGCCATTACTCTTTGGTTTGTGCCCTTGTCCTCGACAGGGTGCAGTAATTCTCACTCATACAACCTCTAGGTTCTCAGTTTTAAGAATTTATTTGAATCAGAACTGCTTTCCTTGATCAATATCACTCTTGGCAGTATATATATATATAAAACACAAAGTTAGAAAGAAGGTTTAGGAACCATGTCATAGAAACGCTGGTATACGCTGTAGAACATCAACTATTTCCAGATTTTCTGTACTGTATTAAACAAGTGTGCTGAGCCTCTGTAGTCTATCATCATAATGAACAAGCCAGTCACTCTAATGCTTCAGAAAAGTGAATACTTCCTCAAGGGCAACAATATTACTCACTGAATGTAAGACAGATTCTCACTTTGCTTTGAAGGATTTTGTTTCGAGTACCATGTTGTGGTACTGATGGAGTGGCCTTGAGGGAAAATGCATTCAAGAAAGGCCTACTGAAAAATGTCCAATTATGTTGCATTGGACGATATAAAATGAATTGGGCCACTCTTGTGGCATGTTCAAATTTTTCGAGTTTTTTTATCTGCAAATTTGACTTTATTTATCCCCAACTGTTGTTGGAGGGCTGCAGCGAGATTCACACATCCTGTCAACACCTCGAATAGAGCGGATCACACCTGAGATTACATGTAAAGAACTGCTATGGTGGTGGAAAAGCAGCTTATTATGCTGCTGTGACTGTGGTTCTGTTGTTTTTGTTTTAGATTTCACTGCAGCAGATATTGAGGACATTCAGGGGTCAACTAAGATAACAAGGAAGATAATATTTTGTATGCATAAGCCTTAACAAAGACAGTTCATTGATATCTAGCCTGAAAGTCTTAAATAAAAGGCTCTCAGTAGATGCTGGGTGTGATTTAGGCAGAAGGATGGGAAAATAGCTGATCCCTGAAGAGGCATCTTAAAGCTCAAAATATACCCGTTTAGAAATCCAGTATATTCCACAATTTTATAGCTTTCATATTCTGACTGGAAATTAGCATAAAATTATTTACTGAGACACGTTCTGTCCATTCCCTCATATTTTCACACTCTCTCCCTTCAGGGCATTGAGGGCATAAGGTTCTAAAAGATTAATTCTCCAACCTTTTCATCTCCACATTTTGATTCACCCCATATCTCTTCCCTGTTGTGGTTGCTGCTTAAATCTGTAACCTGCCCGGTCACCTTCTCCACATCACACTGTTTCATTCAAGCGCCGCTATTGAGGGGTGCGTGCAGCTGATGTCTCAGGATTGAGTGGTCTCATAAAGCGAGGAGGGACTCAGTCCCCGGAGGAACGTGAATAAGATGTGCTTTTTCTTACCGAGGAACCACTTGAAAAGTTAATTAGACCTCTCCCTTGCTCAGTGAGCACCAATAGTAATGGGATCATCTAAGAAATTGAAGATGCCATGGATCTCATTTTCATTTGTTTCCTCCAATAAATATACACTCTATTCAGGTAAGTGATGAAATTGGAAGGGTGCCTTTCACAAGAATAAATCTGTAAATTATGCCACAAATTGACACAGATGTACAAATGCATATAAAGACAGAGTTGAGCTGATGTCAAGGCGAAACTACTACAAACCGAGCTGGGGACTTCAGATCAAAGACTCGCACCCTACTTGATGTGAGTCATATTTATAGGGTCGTGTAACAAGAATAAACAGACTTTTACAGTTTTATACAGTAAAACGCTGAAGCAGTAAAAATTACATAATCCAGCATCATTGTTATGTCCCTGGTCTAGGGGTGCAGAGACATCGTATAAAAGGACATGTGGCGAGAAAAAAAGGGTGAAAGTAGGCAATTTATTGCCAGTAAAATTTATATATTTACAATTTTAAACAAAAAAAAAGCATTTACAAAATAGAAAAAAAACCAAAAAAAAAAACAGAACAATAGAAGCCTGGCTTCAGGGTGGACTGAGGCCAAAACAACAAACAAAAGAAACTAATCTAATTAACCCAACAACTGAACTAAACCCTGGAAGAACAGAAATAAACCAAACTAGATTTTCTAACCTCCCTCCCTAAAGTAAGCAAAAAACAGGAGAAAACGAATTCAAACAAAACTGACAGTCCATCCCTACTGCTTCTGACTAACATGAAAAAATGTTTACGATCTTAATCTTAAATACGAGACGACTAAATTCTCTGAAACCCGAATTCCAATATAACTAATCACAAAAGCTGGTCATTCTTTGCACCAACACACACTGTTAATGAAAGTCTAAATACTGAGCACTTAATCTGACACAAGACCGAAGAGGCTTCAGGGACACAAGCCACTGCTGCCGCAAAAAAGGTGACTCCCTCCCACACGCCGGCGGAAGAGGGTGCTTAAATATCGCCTCTTCTGGTGGTTCAACCAACCAAAAGCAAACAGCTGAATGCTTGCTTTGTCTTGTTACAATGAGCAAAATGTAAGTGAAGTTTTATCACACCACTTACAGTGCCTATAAAAAGCATTCACCCCCACTGGAGAGCTTCCCCTTCAATGTTTTTTTAAAACAATGACTCATGGTCAATTACCATGTCAAAGCAAAAACAGATTTATACAAAGTAAGGTTAAGTAATTAAAATTAAATGCGTAAAACAAGTGATTCACCCCTTTCTAGCCAGTATTTAGTAGATGCACCTTGGGCTACAACTACAGCATTGAACCTGTGTGGATAGATCTCAGTGAGCCTTGCACAAGTGGACACTGCAATTTTACCCTGTTTTTCTTTGTAAAGCTGCTAAAGCCTTGTCAAATTGCATGAATGAACAACCATTTTCAAGACCAGCCACAAATTCCCAGTTGGATTGAGGGCTGGGGTCTGACTCAGTCACTCCAGAGCATTTACCTTGTTGTCTTTAAACCATCTCTGTGTAGCTCGAGCTGTATGCTTTGAGTCTTATCTTGCTGGAAAACAAATCTTCTCCCAAGTTGCAGTTCTTTTTTTTTTGCAGACTGCAGGTTGTTCTCTAACATTTTCTTATACTTTGCTGCATATCCTTTACAAACCTTCCAGGACCTGCCGCTGAGAAGCCTAACCCTATCATGATGTTACCACCACCATGCTTTGTGGTGTAGAAGGTGTCTTTGTGATATTGTGCGATGTTTGGTGTCTGCCAAACATAGTGTGTAGTCTGATGGCCAAAAAGCTAAATTTGGGTCTCATCAAATTGAATTGTCAGAGTTTTGCTTCATTAGATTCTGTCATGTGTTTTCTCCTTAATGTCTCTTGTAATTCCCTTTTTTTTTATTCTCGTACCGTTCATGTCCCTATACTGTTACTTACAATTTCTGTTCCCTTGTCTTGTGTCACTTTTTTCTTTTTGTCTCTTGACTGTGTCCCTTGTTAAGTAGTTTTGTTTGATTAAAATATCCCTTTTGCCACAACCTGCCTACTGTCTGTGTCTGCATTGGGTCCTTTGGCTTTAGTCTACCACATGCTTTCTGGGAAACTGTAGTTGAGCTTTAATTAGCTTTTTAAACGGTGGCTTTCTATTTGCCAGTTTCCCATAATGTAGTACCCAGGTAACAATTGCTGTATGTACAGCCTCTACCATATCAGCCACTAAAGCTTGTAGGAGTCATATACCCCTTTCCCACCAAACCGGTTCCAGTGCTAGTTCGGACCCAGAGCCTAACTTAGCACCAGTTCTTTGTCTTTCCACCACC